TCAAATCAATAACTTGGCTATCAAAAAAGGTGGAAAAATATTCTACTGGCGTCATCACGTCGTCGACTTTCAACGAACTGTCTTCTTCCCAAATGCACTCTGGAGCTTCAAATGGCCTTGTTCTCCACTTTAGTGTCTTGGGGTCAACTTTTTCGAAGCTATTACCAGCATCAACACTCGGTTCCAGCTCACATTCTTCAGCAATCATATTTTCAAGAAGGCCAATCTCGATAGTTTCTCCTCTTTCCACGATCACTTCCAAATTCTTCTCCAGCACTGCAGAAATGTCATCCATCTCATCACCACATTCTTCGTCAGTAGAGGTATCCCAATCGAAGTTAATAATCCTCTCAATATCTTCATTTGACAAGCCCTTCTGTTTCGGTCTCATATGAGATAGATATCTAAGTACAAATATATTTATTACCACTATGGCCCAAGGTTGCCCACAAGCAATTTCACATTTTGAAAATTACTAACCTGGGTATTGTTTAAAATAAATCAAATTAAACTTTAACACCTTTTAGATAAATCTCCGCTTAGAAAAAACTCATTTACAGTCTTTTATTTTTCTTTATTATTATTAAAGTTAATCACTCACCTTAATACCTCTTCCGAATTTCACAATTATATTTTTTGCGACACACGTTCAGTCTATTCAAAATAATTTCTCTAAATGACCTCCAAATGTGAATTTTTTTGCACATATTTTGAGTGGACAAATAAAAGTACCGTTATCATTAAGAATGAGCAGACAAAAACAAAAGGAACGCTTACCGTTAGCCGTTAAACATCACAAATTGCTTACCGGCAACAGTGGGGTCGAAAGGGTTAATTAATGTTTTTTTTGTTATTCAATTATTTTGTATTCGAATTATAAAGTACACATGGTCCTAATGGGGGATTAAAAATAGGGTTTATTTAGCAAAATGCAACAGCTAAAATTTGTGAGAGCGAGATGCACAAGTAGAAATATGCCCCAGCGAACACACGCACAAACACGTGTATGCAAGGGGAACACCAAAACAAAATAATCAAAACAAACAATAACAACACGGAACTGGGGCATTCAAATGTGCACACGTAATTAAAGCTTTTTAATTAGAGCACAACAAATTCAACATGTATAATCAAAAGGTAAGATTTAAGCGTAAAAATTATAAAAAATCTTGGAGCTCAAGCAAAACACTTCAATCACTCTCAACTGAGAAAAATCTAATTTTATCTCTATATATAAAACTTTTTGTCCTGACTGACTGACGGACTGACTTATTGACTTATTGACTGACTGATTGGTGATCAAAGCACAGCCCATGCCGCAAGAGCTAGGAAGTTGAAATTTTCATAGTAGTTAACTTATACGATGAAGATGCACGTTTTCGGGGTAATTCCACCCAAATGTGTTGGAAAATAGCGTAAAACGTTTGTATAATATTTTTTTGTTTACCTTCCGATCGACCTCAAACTCATTTGCAAAGATCTTTGCGGGCCAAAAATTTGGTGGGTGACGATTCGAGCTAAAATTCATTTCCAAGAATCTCTGAAAAATCATTTTAGACGTTTTGCACAGTAATTGAAAAATCAAAGTATACTCGGTAAAAAGTGCGATTCTAAAATTGTTTGGTGAAGCAACTGAAGAAATTTTTCGAAAAACATTAACTTAACTTTTTGGTTTCTTATCGTTATCAAAGTCATTTTCAAATATCTTTATCAGAACTTATTTGACACGCCTTCGCAAAGTTCACCGCTATTGGATGGAAAATGCCGTTCAATGGTTTTATTCGGCCTCAAGATTATTACCACAAGGCTAACAAGGGCGGAAACCTCTGATTCCAACGATAGGTTTTTTATTCGACTCACTTTAAACATATTTTAAAACAGAAATGCAGATCGAGATGGTACGGGTAGATTTCAATTTTCCATGGGGGTGTACTCAATGGAAAGATATTTAAAATTTGAAGCAAAAAACGTTCCAAGGGCAAAGCCGGGCAATATCCGCTAATGTATATGTAAAGTAGCGACAATAATAATAATAATAATAGTCATAAACAATTAAGAGGTTCTAGTCGGGAGCTCCCGACTAGGCAATACCCTGAACCCTCTTATTCCAACACCAAATGCAATTGTTGCATTGATGTTTTCGCCAGCTGCCCATCCATCTGCGCGGTAACATATAACTTTGGTTTTTTCTTAACCGATCTTAATGAAATTTTCTACAGTATATCATATTGTACCATAGAAGATTTGTGTATTCTCAAAAAGTCAATTGCATTTGAATTGTAGCTTAAATTGATTGGCAATATTAGTTGGGTTATTAACTTGATTTATAGATCTGCGGTGTTAACGGGGAGGTTGCGATAGGTATAAAATGAAAGATACTTGATATATATGTAATATTCTAGAAGCAACATATCAAGTTTGATGACTCTAGCTTTTAATACTTACCAAAATTGCTCAAAAAACAGGATGTCGATATCGATTTTTATCGAGTGCTTGGAAACGGAGTAAGTTATCGATTATCGGAAACAAACTTGATCTGCGCAGGCACTAGGGGGACCTACATCTAAAATTTCAGATCTCTAGCTTTTATAGGTTCTAAGATCCTTGCGTTCATATATACGGACGGATAGACGGACGAACATGGCTAGATCGACTCGGCTATGTGTGTGTATGTGCGTGTGTGTTTAGCGCCCGAAAAACAGAAATCACAAAAACTTCTAATCTTGTCAAATTTGCGAGAGACAGGCAAGCAGGCCACCAACAAGATCACAAGGGCACAAATTCCTATATTCATATACAAAATATGGTAGTATGCGTGAATAGCGAGTCCAAAATATTTTAAATGCACACATGGCAACGCTTAGGTACCCTTACCACGATCACGAGCTAAAATGCAAGAATTTCGCAACGACGTGGCAAACCCTTTCATTATTTCATATTACTCGTCCCTTCAAAAGGGAAGAAAGCCACAGACTTTTGAGAAAAATTGAATTTGTGGGCATTTTTGCTTGTGCGGACCAATCCACATACAGACAGTACAACGGTAAATACACAAATTGATAGAGCACTGAGAGTAAGCCAAAGCAGTTTCCAGCAGTGCGAGGGAATAAAAAAGAAAGCAGCGATGCCGTTTTATGAGCCCGAACAAAAACGAAGGCGACTTTGGACCAGCCGCACAGAAAACGAGAGGCCCCATCGTCGTCCACTGATTGTCCAGTCCATATGTTGTTTGGTTTGTGCAATTACTGAACGATATTACCATTCAATATACAAGTGGATTTCGGTGTTCCGGCTCGTTTTTCAAAATATTCTCTTAAAACAATAATGACATCCAACAGCGATGATTTGCAAATTTTAAGGTATTTTATTTTCCAAGCTTAAAATTATTTTACTTATCACTTTCTTTTGTTAAAAATGTGTTAGAGCTGGGAAAACATCGACGGCTCCAAAAAAATCATCGATAGTTCTCAAAACACCAAGTACATCGATAGTCGCATCGATTGTTTTACAGATCTATCTCCGACCCCATTAAGTATATATGTATATTCTTGATCAGCATAAATAAAAAGTCGATCTAGTCATGTCCGTCTGTCTGTATGTATGAATACAAGGATCTCATAACTCAGATCTATAAGAGTTAGAGCGTAGAACGTAGGTGCTTCTAGTGCAAACGCAGTACGTGTTTGATTCCGACACTCGATAGCTTACCCCGATTACAGGTAATCGTTAAAAAAAATTGGCATCGAAATCCTGTTTTTTGAGCAAATCTTGTAATATAAAAAGCTAGAGTAACCAAACTTTTATAGCTTTCGGTACCTCCCCGCTACCACGACATAGCTATAAATCAAGATAATTAACTTTCTGGTATTGCCCAACAATTTAATTTACAATTTTAATGCAATTGGCTTTTTGTTGAAAATTGCATCATGTGATTTGGTTGCCCAAGTGTTTGGGGCACCAAGCGCAAACTGCAAGAACTTTTTATACCCTGAACCCATTAAAAATGGGTATAAGGGTATATTGTATTTTTGCGAAAGCCAAATGTATGTAACAGGCAGAAGGAAGCATCTCAGACCCCATAAAGTATATATATTCTTGATCAGCATCAATAGCCGAGTCGATCTAGCCATGTCCGTCTGCCTGCCCGTCCGTCCGTCCGTCCGTCCGTATGTATGAGCCAAAGGATCTCAGAACCTATAAGAGCTAGAGACTTGAAATTTTAGATGTAAATGCTCCTAGTTCCCGCGCAATAAATAATAAGAGCTAGAGCCACCAAACATGATATGTTGCTTCTAGAATATTATAGATATTTCAAGTATCTTTCATTTCATACCTATCGCCACCTCCCCGCTACCACCCCCGAGCTATAAATCAAGTTAATAACCCAACTTTTATTGCCAACCAATTTAAACCACAATTTAAATGCAATTGACTTTTTGAGAATACACAAATATTCTATGGTACAATAAGATATACTGTAGAAAATTTCATAAAGATCGGTTAAGAAAACCCAAAGTTATATGCAACTGCGCAATTGAATGGGGCAGCAGCTTTAAGAATTTCTGTATACATGTACACACATACATTCATGCGCGTCTGCTTCGCATTCTAATAGCATGGTAATTGCATCTTTTTTTTGTAATGTTATTTTAGTTCCTTTTTTTATCATAAGTACTTAATTGTTGGTGTGGCTGTTGAGTAGAGTCGACAGCAAGTAATGCGGTCAGTTGCGAGTTCGAGCCCTACCAAGGGAACTTTTTTTTTATTAATTTATTTGGTGTTGGAATAAGAGGGTTCAGGGTATCTCCTAGTCGGGAGCTCCCGACGAGAACCTCTTACTTGTTTCTAAATGTACTCACACATATTATAGTTATCCAAGTCTGTCAGCAGAAGATACAAGGAAATTCATTTGTTCCCTTAAATTATTCAAGCTCTTAATGTAGTCTTTCAGAAATCTGAAATTGTCTGTATGAAATCTCCACTGGCAACCAACCAGCCGATGACAGATGGACAACAAATTAAGTTTTTGAACAATGGGACTGAGTCAATTTACAACCATCCTGGGTGCTCTTTTGTTCCTCAGGCAGGTCGCAGGAGTGACGCAGCCAACCAATCCAAATATAATAATTATACTTATAGATGATATGGTAACTAAACAAAATGATATACGAATCAAATAAAAAAAAAAGTACTACTCAGGGCTTTAACGATGTCAGTTTTCATGGCTCTAATCAAATTCTAACACCAAATATTGATGCATTTGCTTATAATGGAGTTATACTTAATCGTTACTATGTGCCTAATCTATGCACACCCTCAAGAGCTGCGCTGCTAACCGGAAAGTATCCCATACACAATGGTAGGCAAAATAGCTGAAAAATCTGACTTCTGAAAATGTCCCTTCTAAAGTTCAATTTGACCTTTTGATAAAGGAATGCAACATTTTGTGCAAATATCAGATGAGCCCTGGGGATTGCCGCTAGGAGAACGTCTCATGCCCCAGTTCTTTCGTGATAAAGGTTACTCTACGCAGCTCATTGGCAAATGGCATTTGGGATTCTGGCGACAGGACCACACGCCTATAATGCGCGGCTTTGATCATCACTTTGGCTACTATAATGGGTACATAGATTATTATGATCATACCCATTATATGTTGGACAGTAATTACACAGCAGGCGCTGACTTTCGACGCGATCTACAACGCTGTCATTCGGATAACGGCACGTATGCAACGGAGGCTTTTACGAAAGAAGCTCGTCGTATAATAGAACAACATGACCTAAGTCGCCCACTCTTCATGGTATTAAGCCATCTAGCCGTGCACACAGGTAACGAGAATCAACCCATGCAAGCTCCCTACGACGAAGTGGCAAAATTTGAACACATAAGCGATCCCAAGCGTCGCACCTATGCGGGTGAGAGGCTTATTAATTACCTAATTATGTAAAAACATATAATATATAATAATTAATATTGCTTTCAAGGTATGGTCTCCAGTCTCGACAAGAGTGTGGGTCAGACAATGCGTGCTCTCTTAGACCGGGGTATGCTTAACAACTCGATTGTCCTACTCTACTCAGACAATGGAGCGCCCACTCTAGGTATTCACTCCAATAGTGGCTCCAACCATCCTTTTCGCGGTGTAAGTCTCTTTAAGCTAAATATACTTTTTTTCAAATTATACTCTTAATTAATACTTTAATACTCTCGAGAAGATTGAAATTTGTTTGCATTAAATATATATAAATTATAAGGATTCATTTCCGTTTCCAATAAGTAGACCGCCTGTCTGTCTATGCTACTTTGTTTTTAACTAGTCTCCAGCTCCGTTATCTTGATTGTTCAGTCCGAATAAATTTATTTTGAAGCCGGTTGGATCCAACCCACATATCAACAAGTATGAGGTTCTAGTCGGGCTAGCCCAACAACAAATGCAGTTCGCTCTAAGCGCTCGTTTGTAGTAATTAAAATAAATTTTAAAAAACCTTACCGCATTACTTGCTGCCGACTCTACTTAACAGCCACAGCAGCCCCCCTCCAAAAAAAACAAGTAAGAGGTTTTAGTCGGGAGCTCCCGACTAGGCGATACACTGAACCCCCTTTTTCCAACATCAAATGCATATATATATTCTATTTTAGAAGCTATATGTCAAGTTTGGTGACTCTAGCTCTTATTATTTACCAAAATTGCCCAAAAACAGGATATCGATATCGATATTTATCGATTGCTTGGAAACGGAGTAAGTTATCGATTATCGGAAACAAACTCGATTTGCGCGGGAACTAGGAGCATCTACATCTAAAATTTCAAGTCTCTAGCTCTTATAGGTTCTGAGATCCTTGCGTTCATACATACGGACGGACGGACGGACGGACAGACAAACGGAGATCGACTGGGTTTTTTTGTGCTGATCAAGAATATATATACTTTATGGGGTCGGAGATACTTCCTTCTGCCTGTTACATACATTTGGATTTTGCACAAATGCAATATACACTTATACCCATTTTTAATGGGTTCAGGGTATAAAAAAAGTTTCCTCAGTAGGGCTCGAACCCGTAACTACTTGCCGGCCAATAATTCAGTCTTAATGAGAAACGAGAAAGAAAGGCTATCTTCGGCACGCCGAAGATCTATTACACTTGCAGACCCAACCTTTTTATAATGCTTATAGTGCTTTGCCCGTATCTAAGAAGCACAGGGAAAATAGTTAATGCCGAGTTTGGGCAAGATATCTTGATAAACAAAATGTTTTTTCATACAACAACTTAATTTTCGACCGATCGTTCCTATGGCAGCTATATGATATAGTGGTCCGATCTTAATAGGATTTTGCATATATATGAGGAGCATAGTAAAACTAATAAATGCCGAGTTTGGTCAAGATAACTTGAAAAACAAAATGTTTTTCATACAAAAACTTAATTTTCGACCGATTATTCCTATGGCAGCTATATGATATAGTGGTCCGATCTTAATAGGATTTTGCATATATATGAGGAGCATAGTAAAACTAATAAATGCCGAGTTTGGTTAAGATATCTTGAAAAAAACAAAATGTTTTTTCAAACAACAACTTAATTTTCGACCGATTGTTCCTATGGCAGCTATATGATATAGTGGTCCGATCTTAATAGGATTTTGCATATATATGGGGAGTAAAGTAAAACTAATAAATCCCGAGTTTGGTCAAGATATCTTGATAAACAAAATGTTTTTTCATACAAAAACTTAATTTTCGACCGATCGTTCCTATGGCAGCTATATGATATAGTGGTCCGATCCAGCGGGTTTTCACATATGAGCTGCGTGCAACAGAAAGAGGGACTTCTGCAAAATTTCATTAAGATAGCCTTAAAACTGAGGGACTAGTTCGCATAGAAACAGACAGACGGACATGGCCATATCGACTCGGCTGTTGATGCTGACCAAGAATATATGTATGTATTTACTTTATGGGGTCGGAGATGTCTCCTTCTTGAGTTACACATTTCACGACAAAATTATAATACCCTCTGCAAGGGTATAAAAAAACAAATTAAGGTAGCGGCACAGAAAACAATACAATCGCAATTGCAATGTTGATAGAATTCAAAGCAGATGCGCATGAATGTGTGTGTGTACATGTGTACAAAAATTCTTTGAAATTGCGCTCGCTGCCGCTGATACGAGGAAAGCCAAAACACGTTTTATTTAATAACTTTTTCTTAACCGATCTTGATGAAATTTTCTACAGTGCATCTTTCTGCTTTAAAGAATATTTGAGTATATTCAAGAAATCCGTTGCATTTATATTGTGGCTTATGTATGTATATTGGTTGGCAGCATTAATTGGTTTACTTACATATGTACTTATTTATAGCTATGAGGTAGTAGCGGGGAGGTGGTGACAGCTAAATAATGAAATATGAATATACTTACTATTATTACTGTGAGAGGTTGATAGTCTATTTGTATCTTATTTTATTAAATTTGATGTATGCCAGTCCTATTCTATATAATAATAATACATGCTTTTGGTAATGTGACGTCACTATCCTACTAAAACTCAACCATCCTCACAGTCGTATTCCCTGAGCACGATTTTTTTATACCCTTGCAGAGGGTATTATAATTTTGTCGTGAAATGTGTAACGCATAGAAGGAGAAATCTCCGACCCCATAAAGTATATATATTCTTGATCAGCATCAACAGCCGAGTCGATAGAGCCATGTCCGTCTGTCTGTTTCTATGCGAAATAGTCTCTCAGTTTTAAAGCTATCTTAATGAATTTTTGCAGAATTCCGTCTTTCTTTTGCACGCAGCACATATGTGAAAACCAGCTGGATCGGACCACTATATCATATAGCTGCCATAGGAACGATCGGTCGAAAATTAAGTTTTTGTATGAAAAAACATTTTGGTTATCACGATATCTTGACCAAACTCGGCATTTATTAGTTTTACTAAGCTCCTCATATATATGCAAAACCCTATTAAGATCGGACCACTATATCATATAGCTGCCATAGGAACGATCGGTCGAAAATTAAGTTTTTGTATGAAAAAACATTTTGTTTATTAAGATATCTTGACCAAACTCGGCATTTATTAGTTTTACTAAGCTCCTCATATATATGCAAAATCCTATTAAGATCGGACTACTATATCATATAGCTGCCATAGGAACGATCGGTCGAAAATTAAGTTTTTGTATGAAAAAACATTTTGTTTATTAAGATATCTTGACCAAACTCGGCATTTATTAGTTTTACTAAGCTCCTCATATATATGCAAAATCCTATTAAGATCGGACTACTATATCATATATCTGCCATAGGAACGATCAGTCGAAAACTAGGTTTTTGATTAAAAACCTTTTTTGTTTATCAAGATATCTTGACCAAACTCGGCATTTATTAGTTTTACTAAGCTCCTCATATATATGCAAAATCCTATTAAGATCGGACTACTATATCATATATCTGCCATAGGAACGATCAGTCGAAAACTAGGTTTTTGATTAAAAACCTTTTTTGTTTATCAAGATATCTTGACCAAACTCGGCATTTATTAGTTTTACTAAGCTCCTCATATATATGCAAAATCCTATTAAGATCGGACCACTATATCATATAGATGCCATTGGAACGATCGGTCGAAAATTAAGTTTTTGTATGAAAAAACATTTTGGTTATCAAGATATCTTGACCAAACTCGGCATTTATTAGTTTTACTAAGCTCCTCATATATATGCAAAATCCTATTAAGATCGGACCACTGCCATAGGAACGATCGGTCGAAAATTAAGTTTTTGTATGAAAAAACATTTTGTTTATCAAGATATCTTGACCAAACTCGGCATTTATTAGTTTTACTAAGCTCCTCATATATATGCAAAACCCTATTAAGATCGGACCACTATATCATATAGCTGCCATAGAAACGATCGGTCGAAAATTAAGTTTTTGTATGAAAAAACTTTTTGGTTATCAAGATATCTTGACCAAACTCGGCATTTATTAGTCTTACAACGCTCCTCATATATATGCAATATCCTATTAAAATCGGACTACTATATCATATAGCTGCTATAGGAACGATCGGTCGATAATTAAGTTTTAGTATGAAAAAACATTTTGTTTATCAACAAATCTTGACCAAACTCGGCATTTATTAGTTTTACTAAGCTCCCCATATATATGCAAAATCCTATTAAGATCGGACCCCTATATCATATAGCTGCCATAGGATCGATCGGTCGAAAATTAAGTTTTTGTATGAAAAAACATTTTGTTTTTCAAGATATCTCAACCAAACTCGGCATTTATTAGTTTTAATAAGCTCCTCATATATATGCAAAATCCTATTAAGATCGGAACACTATATCATATAGCTGCCATAGGAACAATCGGTTCAAAATTAAGTTTTTGTATGAAAAAACATTTTGTTTATCAAGATATCTTGACCAAACTCGGCATTTATTAGTTTTGCTAAGCTCCTCATATATATGCAAAATCCTATTAAGATCGGACCACTATATCATATAGCTGCCATAGCAACGATCGGTCGAAAATTAAGTTATATAAAAAAACATTTTGTTTTGCATGATATCTCAACCAAACTATATAATATAGCTGCCATAGGAACGATCGGTTCAAAATTAAGTTTTTGTATGAAAAAACATTTTGTTTATCAAGATAGCTTGACCAAACTCGGCATTTATTAGTTTTACTAAGCTCCTCATATATATGCAAAACCCTATTATGATCGGACCACTATATCATATAGCTACCATAGGAACGATCGGTAGAAAATTAAGTTTTTGTATGAAAAAACATTTTGTTAATCAAGATATCTTGACCAAACTCGGCATTTATTAGTCTTACAATGCTCCTCATATATATGCAATATCCTATTAAAATCGGACTACTATATCATATAGCTGCTATAGGAACGATCGGTCGAAAATTAAGTTTTTGTATGAAAAAACATTTTGTTTTCCAAGATATCTTGACAAACTCGGCATTTATTAGTTTTAGTATGCTCCTCATATATATGCAATATCCTATTAAGATCAGATTACTATATTATATAGCTGCCATAGGAACGATCGGTCGAAAATTAAGTTTTTGTATGAAAAAAACACTTTATTTTCCAA